TGCGACAACAAGTGATTGAAATGCTGCGGAACTGCACGGAACTAGCCGCACGGCGAGGCTCTCGCTCCATCACAATTAATGATCTAATCTTCCAAATCCGCGACGATGCACCTAAGGTCTCGCGTCTCAGAACCTTTCTATCATGGAAAGATGTGCGCAAGAGTGCCAAGGACTCCGATGACAAAGGTGGCGACGCCGACCTTGGTGTCGCTGACGATCCTGCGGGCGGTGTCATGCCCGGCGGCCCCGCAGTGGAAGAAGCCGCCAAGAAAAACAAGAAGGCCAAAGTCAAGCTCCCCTGGGAACCGTCTTCGTTTTACACCCAAGAAGTACCCGAGCGTGATGATGAGGAAGACGAGGAAGAGGAGGAGATGAATAGCATCACACTCCAACGTCTAAATAAAGCCGACGAGCGCACCAAGGCCATGACTCGGGAGGAATATGTCACATGGTCCGAATACCGACAAGCGTCCTTCACCTACCGGAAGGGCAAACGGTTCAGAGAGTGGGCTGGATTCGGCATCGTGACGGACAGCAAGCCCTCGGACGACATCGTCGACATCCTGGGTTTCTTGACGTTCGAGATGGTGCAGACACTCACGGAAGAAGCCCTCAAGATCAAGGAACAGGAGGACGTGTGGAAGGAACGAAGCGGAGGCGAGAATCCGGGAAACAAGAAGCGGAAGCTTGCCCAGGGACTGTTCGACCCGCCGAACGAGGGGAAGACTCCTGTCGAGTCACGACACATTCAAGAAGGTTTCAGACGCCTCCAGGCTCGACCAAAGAAGGCCAGAGCTATGTTGAACGGAACGAACCTGCAGCAGAGGTCTAACCTGAGATTGTTCTAAGGTGGAAATCGAGTACGGCGATGGATTCTGGTTTATATCGCTTGAAATCCAGCGGATTCAAGCGTTTGGCGTCTACTTAAGGATTGTCGAAAAGAAATGTTTAGGACATACCCCAGGAGCGACGGCGTTTTACGAGAACTTATGATTTTCTGTTTGATTTGAATACCAGTACGTTTGGAGGTTATAGTTAGGCATACACCTTCCCCAGCGGATAACAAGACCTCAGCAGAAAGGAGTTCGGGGTCAGCGGTCGAATTGAGTATTTCTTCATCCAAATCTTGGAGACACTTGTTCATAATTAGTTATGCTCTAGATAGCACGAGTTCACCTGCACCTCATGAAATTTACCCCTCAAGTTAAATTCGCGCAACGATCTTGCAAGTTTTGATTCGATTCGGAGTCGTCGAGTCATAGCCATGTTCTTTGAGTGAGGGAAATTTGTGTTTGACTTATAAGCTATAGATTTCCAGGATACCGCTTATTGGCTGGTGAATAGACCTGGTTCCAATCCAGAGGAAATAACTCTTAAAGCTCTATCTTCATGGGGGGCGGGGTGCACCGTCCCCTTTCACCCCTTTGATATATATATATATATATCCGGCCAGTGAGCGGGTGTAGACGGCTCACGCGCAAAGAGAAGTTCTTCAACTTGTCGTACGCCGTAGTCGGCGGGATCGGTCACGAAATACAGTGGAGAACGAGGACCCGGAAGAGGTCCGCTAAGACAAGTATACAACGTCATCTTGCTCTCTCTCTCTATGTTTTATCAATTTCCTCATTATTTCTTCCTAATTATTTTTTACCATTTCCTATTAGAAAACATAGAAATCTAGAACGACGATCATCGTCACGGAGGAAATAGAAATAGACTACCAGTTTATCATAGAACTAGATTTGGATTTTCGTTAATTACCTACCTACCTACACCTATACATCATGGCGCCCAACTCCCGTCTCATCCTCACCCGGCACGCCCAGGCGGAGCACAACGTGGACCTCGACTACAGCAGTGAGTCCGCGGTAATATTTTAATTTTTTACCATTTCCATTTTCCAAACACCTTGATAGAAACGGACAAGCACTAACCAACCTCCCAAGTCCCCGACGCGCCACTCACCCCGCTGGGGAGAAAGCAAGCGGCGGCACTAGCCCGGCAGATCCCGGCGTTGCAGCAGGAGGCCGAGGTGCTCATCTCGTCGCCGCTGAAGCGCACGCTGCAGACGACGTACCTAGGCTACGCGCCGGCGCTGGAGCGGCTAGGCGGCCGGGCCAGCGTCGTCGTGCTGCCGCAGGCGCAAGAGTGCAACGCGCTGCCCTGCGACACGGGCTCGGACCGGGCCGCGCTCGAGGCCGACCCCGAGCTCGCGGGCTTTGACTTCTCGCCGCTGAGCCCGGACTGGAACGGCAAGACGGGCTTCTGGGCGGCGGGCGACGCGGCGCTGCGCGCGNGCGCCGGCTGGGTGCGTCGGTTCCTGCGCGACCGCCCCGAGAAGACCATCGTGCTGGTCTCGCACGGCGATATCCTGCGGCGCATCACGGCGCACCCCAAGAACGCCGCGGCGAGTAACTATCAGTGGAGAAACGCCGAGGCGCGCATCTTCGAGTTCGATCCCGAGTTCGTGGATGGCGACGAGTGCTTTCTCTTCCAGAGGGAGGATGTGGCGGCGGCTGGTGGGTATGGGCCTACTAGTACGGAGTTGGAGATTGAGGAGGAGGAGGGGAAGTTGTAGAGGGCTGAGAGAAGGGAAGGGAAGGGAAGGGAAGGGGATGGGATGGGATGGGAGTCATGGTAGATGGGGGTGCTCGCCTACCCAGGTATCTACCTACAGTATCTCCCAACTAGAGGCATGTGTTGTTTTGCCGCTTGTAATAGACAATAGACAATAATATAGATCTCTAGATCCTTGTGACCACACACCCGGCAACACCCTCGGGCCACGAATGTGCAGAAGATATGCATATATTCTGCTAAAGCTTGTCAAACAATGTGGATTGTGTTACCCCTTGTTTTCCCCTATTGGGCTGTGCTAGTAAGTCTAGATCTAAGTTATGGTGTCCCACTCTTCTCCAGGTTGTCTCCAGATCTGGAGATCAGAGTTCGAGATGGTATGTACCTAGGTGATGCTTGTTCACCAGTATTGCTTTTTGAAGATACTTTGCTCGATGGGGATTGAAAAGATTGACGATAGTGGAATCTGAGCTGGGCCATTGTGAAAGTTTGTCTGGTTCCATTGTTTGCCATGAAATTTATGAATTATTATTATACGCCATCATTATATTACGAGGACCACTATAATGATAGCCATATAGATACTGGATTGGTATTTTATAGTATTAGGATTTCGTATAGTAGCTTGTCGATGCGTACCCTAGTAGGGCCGTCAAGAGATGAGGCTTTTACTCTCGAAGAAGTATTATTTTGCAGAATCGACAATTGCTTGCATGTATCCTTTCCTGTTACGGTATATGACCTACATATTGTATGCACCATTGATATAGCCCATCATAATGTGAGTGACTGGGTAACTATTTGGTCGAAGAAAGATGTCTCTTGTTATAATGCTTTTTGAATCGTGACTCTCGTGGCCAATGGTCCGAGACACACAACACCCACACTGAATCTGCAGATATTAATTATGCACCAGGCATTCGTAACAGAAGCAAGCCGAAAACCTCTGAATTGGATGGATGAAGTACCTACCTATTCAATGAGAATGCTTTGAGACCATATTCACAGCTATATCCGTAAAAAGCAAACACCTCCACTAATGAAAAAAAAAATGTATATAAATAATGAAGCAGATATTCCATCCTGGATGTCGAAACTTCGTCTCTAGGAAGAACATATGACCTACCTACAAGTCTAGGCTCGTCTAAGGTGTCCTATCAAGTTTCATACACGTCCGTCTCGGTCGTTACACCCGTATACACACATCGATCTCGCCTCGCTCGTACTACATACAGTAGAACAACCTAGTCATAATGGCCGAGACCGTAGCCTCGACGATGCCAGCGATACCCGTGGGGGTGATCCGCGTATACGCCACGAAAGAAGACAGCAACGCGGACTGGACGAATCCGCGCCACGTCCACATCCACAGGCGAACCACCGCAGGAGAGACCGTATGCAGCGGCTCGGCAACCGCAGGCGGCGTTGTCTCCGACGCCGACGGCACGCTCTTCACACTGACGACGTCGAAGCTCATCCCCGAGGGCGCGCCGCACTTGGACACGGACAACGGGTCGTGCCGATGGATCGGATTCGCGCAGCACACGAGCCGTCGTCTGCACTACACTCTGGTCACGATCTGCCCGACGCTGGCAGACGATCAAGCCAGAGAGACCGCGAAGCGTGATCGCGTGGCTGTGGCGGGAGACCAGGCGTCCATCGCGCTCGAGAAGGCGCAGTCGGATCTGGTGGTGCTTGGCCGCTCGCAGGACAACGAGATCCTGTCGGGGCGCATCACCGCGTCGCCGAGTCCAACTGACAAGCTCATGACCGCACAGTTCGATGCCGTTGGCCAAATCGACGCTGGCATGTGGGTGTATGCGCAGCGGCCTGGCGTAATTAGCCAGGACGCCGCGGTGCGCGCGCAGCTAGAGCAGCTGCACAAGGGCCCGTACCGGCCTGAGATGTTCCGGTACTACCCCGATGCCACATCCACCAACCCGCTTGTGCTCGTCGGGCACATTGTTGAGGTGCACGGTAGTGAGAAGAAGGATGGTGGTCCGACGGAGGTTACCGTGCAGGGCGCATATGAAGTCCTCGCGGAGATCTTCAAGCAGAAAGGCGAGCAAGCGAATCCGGATGGCGCTGAGATTATGCGAAAAGGCGTCGCGAAGACGCTTATGGGGAGGATGTCTGCCACGCTCTCGTGGGTTCGCAATTTGCTCGATTTAGAGCATTTCGGGTTGCGATTTTGAGAGATGGCGAGGAGATGAGATAAACGAGGAGATGGATTGGGGTTTCGTGTATTAATGATGAATCGTTCTTAACTTTACCTTCTTACGTATTTGACTATTAAGCCAAAGAAAATAAAATAAAGTTCACCATAAAAAAATGCTTCCACCATTGCCGGTAACAAAAGCAAAAGTAGCATTAAAGATTAGAAAGAAAAATTAAGAAAAATATATGATCATGACCATTAGTTGCGACAACGACAGGATTCGAACCTGTGCAACCGAAGTTATTAGATCACGGGCAGACCGCTATTAACGTTCCTGCCGATTCGAGTCTAACCCATTAACCACTCTGGCACGTTGCCATGATTGCATTGATTTTAGCTTGGTTTTGTTGCAGTAGATATAGTAGTGGTAAAAGTGCGGTAGTTTTGATTGGTAGAATTGGGATAATTCATGCAACTCCAAGCATCGTGTTGCCACTATGTAGCGCTAATTACTACGTAGATGTTGGCCCCTTTTAGTGGGAAGTGGGAACACCAAATCCACTAGTCGTGTAGGCGATAGTGTTCAAAGAAGCACCCGAATTAGAGATCATTCTTGAGCAAATTTCAAATGAAAGGGGTGGGCTGAGTCCAGCCACTTAATGGTTCATGTACCTTTCGATGTAAATGGTATTTCGGTATAGTTTCGTACTATATACCTGCAGTATATTCACAGCCTTTGCCTCGCCATCGTCTCGATCATCAAGTAATGGGCATCATCTCTCATGCCCCCATCCTCAACGCAAGCCTGTTCCAATATGTACCATAAAACCTCGACAACACAGAACCACACGATTTATTCGTCCTACAAAGCCCAAGTCTTTGCGGGTCGAATAAGCGGCTTCTTTCCTTTGGGATCATCCGAGTCCCTCCTGCTCCGACCCCTAGCCAACCTCTCCCTCTGTCTCCCTTCCATTCGTTTCGTCATAACCCGTTGCAGGCTCATCGGCAAATCCTCTACCACATCCCCATCGTCCTCTTTATTCGCCGTACCCTCGCCACCACCCCATATACCCGTAGATCCACGTCTCAACCTAGGTATGTCACCAAAACCCGTACCTGTACCACCAGCAATAGTGCCATGCGATGGCATTTTCCCCAGCGTGAACCCGCGTCTTCTGCGCACGAAGCTGCTTCTAGATTTGCTCTTAGTTTTCTGGATTTCCTCCTGCTCCGCTTCCGCTGCTGCGGCTGCGGCCCTGTTCTGATCTGCTTCGCGCTCCCTAATCTTTCGAGCGTATTCGTGGAATTTAGGCCGCTCGAGCATCCCGCTGCGGAAGGCGTTCACTCCAACGAGAAGTTTGGCAAGGTCTACCAGTTCCTCTAAATACTCAATGATTTCCACTAGAGTGCGTCAGGTCAGTTGATGTTAGATGATACAAGTCCGGTTGGTAAGAAACAAAGCTAGAGCATATTGAAAGGTAACGCAAACTTACTCATCCCCGCAGAGCTGGCATTCCATGATAGAAAGCTCTTTCGGGTCATCAACTTCAGATCGTGGGGCTGAAGTGGGATGGAGCCCCTGTATGTCGTAGCAGGGCTATGAGTGCCAGTGTTGAAAGCCGATTTGCTTGAGCGTTCGAGAAGAAGTTCGCGAACTCGGCTGATATATCGTAACTGCGCTACGCGACTGGAAGGTAGGAACTGAGGAAGAGGTAGTCTCGTTGTTAAGGCTTCACTGACCGCAAAGAGCGTAAGCATCATACTCGCCGCTACATTACGACGATAAGCCACCACGTCAGCATTGAGTTCCTCCAGTACGCTGCTACCGTAGGCTTTCCGGAGGTGCAACATGTTGTCCATGCGATCAATTATCTGAAACAACACGTAAATCATCTCGCCGTATATCAACGCCTGTCCCTTGAAACTACCCTTCATCCTTGGCTCTGTTAAACAAAATGGCAGGAATGTGCGAGCTGCGGAAAGAGCCTGCTCGGCCTTTTCTTTCGCATCCTTGAAGTTTTCGCTGTGGGCGTTGGATCTGATATCGATGTTCTTGGGCGAGTCGATGCCTACAGCCACCGAGCCTTCCATTTGAGATATTTGTTGGATTGTCGAGGCTAAAGATTCGACAAGCCTATCTCGAGCACGAACAGGGAATAGAAACATTTCGACGAGGAGCGCAACTGTCCCACCTATGAGAAAGCATACCATTCGTTTGACGAAGATTTTCCATGTTTCTTCCGGCTGAAGTATTGTTGCTATTTGCTTGTTAGGGTCGCAAGTAGGTTGAACCATGGACTCAAGACTCACCGAGTCCTACTACAGACAGACTCACCATAGAGATGATACCTGTCTTGATATAGGGTGTACCGAGGCGGATATATGCAGATGGTATGATGCCGAGTACTAGAATGACTATCGCAACAACACGGTTTCCTTGTCCGATTTCATAGGCAAGGAAACCAACAACGCAACCAAACACGACCCCGAACGCCCTAAGGAAAAACCCCTGAAATGAAGTCCCTACCGAAACTTCGAAGACAAGAACTAGCTGCAGCGATGCCCAGGACCCGCGAACCGAGTTATACCATGCTGCACGAATTGTTAGTGTCTTTATTATCATTAAATCTTTTCATCATATTTACCATTATATTCCGGGACAAACGCCGGCCATGTAATAAGATATGCAGCAATGCTCATTTTTAAAGCGAAGGCGAGATCATCCGATTCTGCAAAGAACTCGACCGCATCAGCAGCCAATCCACGTAGCCACAAGATAGTGCTAGCTTCCGACTTTCGAGGACCTTTCCTCCTTGGTATCTCGCCTTTCTCGGGAATTGTAGGTTGTTTCGAAATAACGTGTCCGGACTCTTCGTCCTTGCTTTGGCCTAGTAGTTGGCCGTCACTACCATCTGTGTCGTTTTCATTCGGATCTTCGCGTACGCCATGGCCAGTTCTCGCCTCCTTTCTGGCATTCTCTGGGAGAGCGTTGATATCGCCTTCTCCTCCGCTCGTAAGCCATTTCTTCCAACTTATCTTTGGCCAATAGAGTCGTCGGCTATCCTTCCTTGCTTGTCTCTTCTCGACGAGAGCTCTCGAATGCCTTAGTATATCCATCGTTTGGGCGGCTGCCTGTCGTACACTTATGAGGAAAGAGGAAATCAAATGTGTCTCCATCCTAGGCATGATGTCACCCTACAAGGCAGTAATGTTAGCTAAATAGTTTTTAGTTTATTTCTTTGACATAAGGGAATATGTAGGGCCTATCATGCCTTTGCTTCCCGACCGTACTCTATGGATGCTGCATGCTCGAGGGCCGCCGCGGAGTCTCGGTCAAATTGCGACAATGCCTCCGCAAACATATCAACTCGGAGATCGATTTCCTCTAGTGTGATTCCCTTAGGCGTCGGAGCACCCGACGGGAGATGGGGCACATCGTAACAATAAGCGAGAGCGGATGTGACGACATAAATAGCAGCCTGTATTTGGTCTTGCAATATCTTGGTTGGGCCGCGGATCTGGCAGAGAATATGCTCTAGAAGCTTAATGTCGCCCGACTCGATCTCACGGACTGGCTTAACGCGCTCGAGGTTTTGGGCATACTTGGATTTTCGTCGAGCTCTTTTAGTATCACCATCTGACTTCCCATCATCACTATCGCTTTCAGAATCACTATCTGAGTCGGAACTTGAACTGGAATCCGACTCCGAGTCCTCGTTATTGGTTGTTCCCTCGCTTGGCTGTTCTGGCTCGTCCTCTCCGTACTCATGTCCGGCCAATGCATACTTGCTCTCGCAAGCATTGATAAGGCAAATTGTGACCTGGACAAGTCGAGACATCAAGGTCATGCTAACCGGCTTCAGAGACCGTGGGGGAAGAACAGCATACACCAACTCGAAATTGCATTCTGCTTGAGCTTTCTTACAGCTGCCAAGTTGAGCCCTCAACTTCGTTTTCTTTTCCGTTAAAGCTACGAGCCTAGTTCGTAATGCGGCTGCGGCCTCTTTCTCCTTCTCTGGGTCTCCGCCTTTTGCTTGTGTAGAGTCGGACATGAACCAATCACCCGATTCTTGAAACGAGTTGATGGCTGAACATAATGTTTCTATTGTGGATCTACCCAGGAAACCACTCGAGAATTCGGGGAATATGGTGACATTGACAAGCACTATGACGCCAACTGCCGTGAGGATAGGATATGCAATATTCGTGACGATGCTAGTTGCTACGTAAGTGGTAGCGCTGGTTAAAATGGTGATGTTGATGAGCAGGAAGAAGAAAACAAATAAAAAGAGCCTCGGGGCGGATGATCGTAGTACGCCATGAAAGAGTAAAGCCAAAGTGAAGAAAACTGCTCTAATTGCCCATGACGCTTGGATGTTGGTATCATGAACGAGGCTGGACAGATATAGTCCCAAGATAGCCCAAGCAATGCCGACAAAAGTTCCGAGGGTAATGAGCATGAGAGCTTCGGCCATCTGACCAAATCGCTGTCCGGGATGACCAAAGACAGAAGCCATAGCTCCGAGGAACGTCGAGTTTCCAAACATGGAGATCACTGCCGGAATGATGCCAATAATCAGATTGATAGTGGTGCATATTGTGATCTTGGCTATGTTCTTCCAGAGATGGTTTTTCTGAAGATTTATAGCAACGGAGGTTAGCCATTGCTGACATGGACGCTGAAGCCTGCGCTTCAAAAGGCTCGTTATTGCCATAGTCCTTCCGATATTCCCAACCCAAGATCCAGCCTTGTCTGGTTTCTCGATAAAGTCATGATGGTCGAGGTCGACCGGAACTGGAGAATTAGGGTTGGGCAAATAATTATAAGATTAGGACCCATTCGATTTCGGAGGGTGGTAAGTAAAAACAATGCATTAGTTGAGTAACAACATATCTATCCCAATGGAATTCTTATTTACTGCCCACCACAAAGGACTGATTAGATGGATCTAGCTATGCAAGTTGTTGTCAAATGAAGTTGAAGCTGTTAAGGAAAAGCTAGAGTGATTCGCCCCCACTCTACCCCAATTTCTGAACTCGACTTAGCGCGCCTTAGCGGCGCACGAATGATCTCATCCCGAAACAATTCAGGGCGAAAGATCTTGGATATTAATGCTTGTGTGACTGTAACGCTAGCAGGGGTAATTGAAGCTAATCAAATAAGGTATAGCTACTTAAACGAGCACCCATCTCTAGTAGGCTTAAGGGTACTAGAACTTCCTCCATCGCGGGGTTCTTGCATGCGCGAGGGCGAGCACTGGATTATCAAAGACAGCTATGTAAGCTGCATGTGCTCCTCATCCAGAACGTCTAGCGTCCATCTCAGCTGCCATCTACCTAACATAGCAGTATTTGGTTCTACTCAAAACATCATCATC